CCACGAAAAAGTTCGAAAACAAGACTTTATGTTATGTCAAGTCATTTCTTTCATTTCCGTTGGTACGTCAGTCTGCCTGGTGATCTGTCCGCTAATCATTAACCCCTATATAAGTTGGAAGGACTGCTCGGATTTGACGAAATTTTAACTCAACGATATCAACATGATAAGAATGAAAACTCTTTGTAAGTTTTAGAAATCTACCCTGTAGCGGTGGAGCTAGGGCACTTAGTATTGGGTACACTATGGGCAAAATACGAAAAAAATTAATGCCTTCATTTTTTTGACATTCCAATTGGTGGTGGGAGGATCCAGGGTGTAGAGGATGGTGAAACTCAATTTTTTGGCGTTAATGGGGGGATTATAGTCCTGGTAATTATACACATCTATCATCTATTTCACATCTACAGTTTCCCCGTATATTGTCCTTAAGGCTTAGAATGGAATATTTTAGATACCCAGGTCGAGTGAAACTAAAGCAGGAGACAAACCTGTAGCGAGATAGCCTGTTTACTACTATTTGTGATAAATCGTATGCGCTCATTTGGCTAACTTGATCTTTTTTATTCCTTTATTATACCGGTTTCTAGCAGTGGCTCATTTGTGTGGAATATAGACTTTTATGCACAGCTGACAGGGTTGAGTGGCCAGTGACCCTTTTTTATACTTGAGACGCCGCCACGAAGTCCTAAACACCCGTGGGAACCCTGAGACAATAGGGGGATATTTACGTGTGATGCAACATGTACAAATTCTGGCCCTGCCTCAGAGATCCGCAGGGTGGCCCCTCTACGTTAGACAGACTGAAACCGTTTAGTACCACGGACACTCACAACATAGCCATAGCCAAGAGAAAAATTATCTTGGAACGGGATTCGATCCGCCACACCGATTGATTAGTAGTCACGCAGCGTCTACCATTACGTCACCGCTGCTGCCTGTATTTTTTAATTGGCTTGGATGTGGTGCCGTAGTCACTTCCTGACGGAGCGCATCCCCAACGCCTCGCAATCTCGCCATCTGCTTGGAGTGGCGCGGCGTAAAGTCGGTTCGTGGCGCTAACTATATAATCACAATCAACGAGTGGTTATGTAAATTGGATGAGGAGTAAGAGAGACACGGAGGGGGATGGAGGTGAGGGAGCTAGCTCATCATTCTGCACACTCCCTGCAGCTCCCCAGGAAATTAAAAGTACTGTCGAGATTAACAGCTCGTGCTTGCTTGCTGCGAGATTCAACTAAGGCGTACGCCTGCTGCCTTAAAGGGAGGGAATGAAGAGGCGGATTTGTCACAATGATATCTTTAGACTCTATTGCACAATAAGCAGAACAAGCTGTATCTCTTGAGAGAGTGTATATGTGATTCTAATAGATAACTTAAAAAACCCGCAACCACATTGACGGGCGGTCAACGATCTGGCTTCCTTCTCCTGCTATGTCAACAGGCTTTGCTCCTCAGAGCTCTCCTCCATGATGACGCCGCTCGTTGAGCCTGCGAGACGGACCCACCAGCCTTCCATTCTAACATTGCCTCACTCACTTCGTACATATAGAACCGGGCGGCTGTTCTTTGTTCCTAAAGTTTCGAGATTGCAAGACGACCTGCTCCTTGCAGCACTAAAAATCCTCGGTAGTTGAAAAAAAGGGATTTACAGGACAGATATAAGCTCCTCATACCAGTTGCGGTGCCCCGGTATTCAGGATTTTGCGTATGCGGCTGATTCAGTATATTTTTGACCTCTAAGATAATCTTGGGTTGATGCTTTCTATTAGCAAAGTAGTATTAAATGTTTTTCACTATACAGGTAAGATATTAATTAGAACATTAGACACTACATTCGATTAAAGAGAAACCGCGCTTATCTATTTGGGAGTTTTGATTTCCGGAATTAACTATCATATGGAGAAACTTTTGAATGACTTGACCGATTTGCATTGAATGATCGATTTAGTAATATGTAGGTCAAACCTTTTCATCTTATATCTCATCCAGCCTTATTCGCTCATTTCGAATTACTCACCCTCACGTTCACCCCAAAACTTTTACGCGTTTTTCATAAAACATAGCCAACAACCATCTCGACAGACAAAGCTTTCAATTAACAAGCGCACTCTTGTGTACCTATGATCACGATGCTGCAGACAGACCTAAGACCCTTTGAACGTATTGTGGATAATATACACAAGTCCTCAGTTTATGACGATAATGATCAACACATAGTGCGAACAACAAGGGTTCCAGCCATCAGATAGTTCTTTTCTAGACCGGCGCAAGTGTGGATCTCAACAATAACAAGCTTCACCACAGTAACTGCTGTGATCAACGAGGAGTGTTAGCTACCAATCATTCTTTGAAGATCTTTAACAGAGCTTTTTCATGGTGAAACAAATGAGATCCTGTCAAAATTTAGACTTCCATCAAAACCGGTACTTAAGGTGCAGTGATCTCTCTTTTAAGCATCAAACTGCTACGTTTTTAGTCAACAAAAAAGCGTCTCTCGTCAGGTAACTACTATTTTTCTCTCCTCATTAATTGGAGAGATCGTGTAGGAAAAAGGTCATTAATTTGTAACAGAAACAATGTTGGAGCTAAATGCAATTGATGAAGAATATCTGAATCCAGTTGTGATGCTCGAAGTCTATATATATATATATATATATCTATATAAAGAGAAAATGATCATGTGGAGGAAGGTATATAACAAAAATAGGAAAATAATGGGCAAAATCCTCAAAAAGAAGGAAAGTGGGTTCGAGCAGAAAGTAGGATAGGTAACCCGAGCGATTCGTATTTCTGCTGGTTGGCTTCAGACCTCGAATTTTCAAGGCGACATCTAACCACAACCACGCGGCCGGTTATAGCCACTTGCTGTGGTGCTTCAAGCCCAAAGGACCTACAAAGAGAAAATGATCATGCGAAGAAAGGTATATAACAAAAATAGTAAAATAATCCGCAAAAAGAAGCAGTGGAGTCGAGCAGAAAATATGACAGGTAACCTGAGCGATATGTAATCTCTTTGTAGATCCTTGAAGTACCACACACAGCAAGTGGCTATAACCGGCCGCGAGGTTGAGGTTAGATGTCGCCTTGAAAATTCGAGGTCTTCTAGCCAGTTTATACTACAGTGTGTAGTTTAGCTTTTGTTGCGGACTTCGTGTGAGATTTGTTTCCCTCTCCATCTTCGTTTCCTCAAGAATATACATTCTATTATCTTAGTGCATGTTCTTCTCTAGTTTCCATAAATATGGAGCAATTGAATATTCTCACAGTAAAGATGGTCACTACTCATATTAGGAACAGGTGTAGAATAGAAACTATTGCTACTTTGCATATTTTGCAATTAAAAAAACAGTACCATCATAAATAAAATGAAAGTCTACAGAACAGTTCCATTTTGATATGGATCATTAAGTATTATGATTTATGGCATATAATAAAATGTAAGTGAGAGTTTCCTTGTACACAAATTGTTGTTTCATAGATCTGTATGGAAAGTGGAATGAATGCTTGAAACAGTTCCATATTACTATATTTTCAACGTAGTTTGCATATAATAGCTCCAGATGCATACGAATGTAATCTAGATACAGAAAATGTGGCTGAACAAAAACAGATACGGAAATTTAAAGAGAGCTGAAAATGAATTCTCCTCGACGTATCTTTTTTCCTGAAACTAATCGGCAAACAATTTTTTGCACAAACAAAGACGTTTACTATGCGTTTCTTACAACTCAAGCTTTATTAGCTCAAAAAATCTTGTGTCATACGTACGCTAATTTGACTCTTCCAATTCCTTCAAGAATTTTTTTTATTTTATTTTGAATTTAATTACTTTGCAGGGCTAAGCTTTTTCCGACTGCACCCAAAAAATATCACGTTTTTTTTAATGTAATAACGTTTCATACTACATACAACGACAAAACATGCACTTTCCCACGTTTTATCGAGATTGGTTCAGTTGTTTAGATACTTAGTCTTCGTGACGTAGCCAAACGCTTCAAAATAACGGCGTTAAATACGAAAAATGACTTCCCTCATTTATAAGACGGTGTTAAAGGCAGAAATTTTCCATAATTTTGATACGCAATGATGCTAAGTGCTACTTGATTCTCATCTTATAATGATTCACACTAAACGGTTGCTATTATTGGCAGAGGCAAAGTAAATAAGGTGCTAAGTACAACTAGTCGTCTCGGATACAATAGGCAATAAGAGAGGTAATACAAGAGAATCAATTAGCTTTAAATTAAAATCCATTTCGAGTGAATTTATTGTTATCCATGAGCTTAATTCGAATGAAAAATATTGCTTGAGATTGAAATATTACAGCTATAAGTTAAGAAGTTAGATGATATAATTTTCAAATAATCAAAACAAAATTGGAATGCTAGATTTCTAGGAATTTCTGCCTTTGATGAAATAGCGAAAATATGTTAATAATTGACTTGGACTTAAGAGAGCTAAAATAACCAAAAACGTGAATTCTTATGAACACTTTTGCATCCATTGGTGGGATACCGAGGAAAAACTGTCCCCATTCTGATACATAACGTTAACAAGCTTAGAATTCGTATTAACAAGTCTGGCCTTGGTCTTGAGTGTATTCAAAACAGATTCCTTTGAACTATTGAAAGCTCTCATTTCATGATTTGCGAATCACATCTTCGCTTTTAAAATACAAGGCAAACAATTATTTTCTGAGGAATTCTCGTTTTATTATTAAACTTGAAACACCTGAATTTTTAAAACTGCCCTAAATCACTAGGTTCTGCCAACTAGAGTGCAAGATTACAATTTACTTGTCTGAGACTGCCTACCTCTTCCAAATATATCAGATTAATTTTTTACCGAGTGTGATCGTGCAACTTCAGTATGATACTTCTTCTTAGTAAGGTTTGTCTTAAATGGTAGCACGGAATATTTTGAAAGATGTTCACTGGTGCCAGCGACAAAGATCCTGTAGCCAAAGGTTTTGCTGTTTTTGCCACAAGTCAGCCAGCATGATTGTTCGTCAATTTTTGAAATGCAGGGACCATAGGATAGGTCTAGAACAGACTCGGGCAAACACTTTAAGAGAAGGGCCAGACAGAATAAAAATTATCAAGGTGAGTCAAAAAATAATTGACAAAACTAATTTTTATAAGTGACAAATTTCACGTCACATCCTTAATGGGCGTGAAAAAGTATCTCTAAAATCATTTTTGAAAACACATTTTAAATCAACTTTAGGGTTTTCCCTTGCTATGACAATGATTAAGAATATCAAAAAATACGACCAACAAAGCAAAAACTATAGAAACACATACTAGACACACGGCTATTATAACCAATCAAACTGTTAAAGACAGTATTATATTGTTTGTCATTAAATTATACTTTTTATTGTTGAACGAAAATAAAGTATACAAAGATACCGTGTTCCCGATACCTCAGCATTTACATTTGGCTGACCTAATGTGTACGAGAGACAATATGTGTGTTAGAAAGGGTCGTCGATTGCATCCGCGACCTCTTACTCATGTTGCTAGGCAACGAGGTGCTTCTATCTCTTTCTAACACACGTATTGCATGCTGCATGCTGTTCGTTTTTTAAAAATACTCTTCCTCAGAGCAAAATATACTTTATTTCTTGTAAAACAAGTTGGCAATCCTACATACAACTGCAGAGGTGAATTGACACTTACTACGCGACTGTTCCGAAGTTAGCTCAGCAACGCATTGTTCACTATATTCCACATTTAAAACCGTGTCGCGGGCCGGATTGATTATTCCAAAAGGTCGCACTACCCGTGAGCCGTACTTTGCTCGTGAGTGCTCATGGATATAGAAACCCCCTACGATACTCTTTAAGGGGCCATCCAGAGCTTTATTCCACATAGCTGTAGCAGAAAATTGGATTATTGTTAGATGTAACTCAATGAAAAATACCACGAGCCAATCTGAAAGGGTTCAGTGGTGAATGAGTCTTAGACTCCATCTGCCCGGTATGTACTCGTACTTATAATTTATTCGGAATCTTTGGATATATAGGTGATAAAAAGTATCCTTTTTCAAATTCTCAACGTCTGGGCGTTTATTTTTGGCATTCTGCAGTGCTAAAAAATATGAAAAAATACATTCATGAAATTTTAAAATCGTACATGAAGCAGTGAAATGTTCAGTTCAACAGATTGACGAAGAAAGTACATTGAAGACATAAAAAACGTGAGTACATATTAAAAAGTTATGATGCGATCTAAGGGATTTCAACAATTAAAAAAATTATATAAAACATATTAAAAAGCCGGATTTAAGAAACAGCAACAAGTGTATAAAAAGTATATAAAAGCAAAAACAACCTTACCTACCCAATGAGACACGAAACACGCTCCAAGGGATAAAAAACAACTCTCAGGTCAACTGTGAAACAAATTAATGAACATAACATGAAAAACCGAAACAATGAGATGCCATTTCAGACTATACAGTTGCTTTAAGCCAACTGAAGGATGACGGGAGAAATTCAGTGTTTGCCTGCAGATACATAGTACATACACGAGAAGCAGTTCTGAGGGGACATTACTGCTTAGGGCTTGAGTCTGATAAATCCCTTAATCCAGAAGTTATAATTCTGACTAGGGTCGCCAGTGTATGCTGTCTTGTTTTATTATGTTTCACTATCGAATAGGCAGACTGAGACACATTTGAAATTATGATTACTTTGAAAATGATGTGCTGCCAGATCTATGTGCACCCTATCATTTCTGTGTACTTCTCTGCAAAGGGGTTCATGCGATGACATTCTAGTCTTTAAGTTCTGTCTGATTTGACCAATATATACCATTTGACACTCAGCACAATCTATTTTGTACACTAAATTAGGTTTATATCCAATGTGCAGTTCATCCATCCTCATCCATTCTCATCTTTTTATTGGATCATTTTGGTTGGTACGAGAGCTTCGGTCATTGTTATTATTGATGATTAAACCACAAGGCATTAAATTCAGATGTATCCAAATACAAAGTCTTGCTTTTAAAGACATAGTTTCCCTGTCTCTTCAGAACACAACCTTTATCTTCACCCTATACTTTTCCAGTTATAAGTTCTCCATGTTTGTACTTTGTTCCAACCAGCTTTGACACACATTATATACTATGCAGCAGATTCCACTTCGGGTACTTCACGCAGTTTCGTTTCAATAATAGGTAGTTAATTATATTTATATGATGGTAGCTACTCATAAGATTCCTTATGAGGCATCCTTAACCGTTATAGACATATCCTATGGCTTCTTTATTGGTCAGTTCGTTCAACTTTATGGTGAAATGAATCGCACTGTTTCCAGTCACACAATCAATAGAAATTGCACGTAGGTTTTTTATTGCATATACATAGTTCAGTCCACAAGGGACGAAAGTGTATCAGAATTGCAAGATCAAAAGACAAGTTGAAAGGTATAGATACATACGTATACGTTATATAATTATGACAGTCAATACGGTAAATGCCGTTTGCATTATTTTCAGCAACAAGCAAATTTTCCATCTACACAAGAAACGCCTGAAAAGATTTAATGCTGAAAAAATGGCTACGTAATTTATTAGTGGAAGAGTAATTAGCCCTCACCCCAGCATCTGAGTGGCATTGAGCACTTTGCACCTCCCTTTCAGGAATTTTTTAGAACAGGATCCTCTAATATACCAAACTATTGAAGAAGAAGTTAGTATCACACAGGGTAACTGTATTTAAGTCTATTTGTTCTGGATAGACCCGTTGGTCAGTCTTAAAACTGCTATAATGAGGCAGGGTTTTTCTTTAGTTGCTCAAGGTTGAAAGAATCCCTTCATGCCAATTTTAGGCAGATGGTTCCACAATCGTAACATACTAAGAACAAAGAATGGGTCTAGTTCTCTAGCTTCGGCATGGTTAGAATGAGCTACAGAAGTCTAACAGGTTCGTTTGACAGTCTTATAGCATGGTCATTATGATGTAAGAGAGCTCGAGTAAAGTTCGTTGCTATATCCGTAGAAGAGAGTTAGATTATCGACCACTCGTCGATTTTGGAGGCATCAGATGTTCAGTTAAGAAATTGTCGTTGTTAGGACCTGATCCTTGTGCAGAACGAAGAGGCTAGGTGCTGAAAAGTATACCCTAGATCTAGAAATAAATATCTCCGCATCTTCTTAGTTGCTGAGATGAGATGTGTCCGCGCGTCTTTGGTGATCCGACCCCTGACAAATGACGCAAAGCTCGGAACTCCGTCTGAATCGAATGTCAGTTTATGGTTCCCTTTAGATCAGGTCTAAGATGCTATACTCAGTCTCAGATTAACTAAACTGCGCCGAGTTGTTGTCGCCTCAGGCAGCGTAAGTCGCCACAAGTCTTCTTCTGTTCAGCTCAACTTTGTCCGTAAAACTGTGAATCATATTTATCGTGCAGATTAAGATTCTTTTTGTGTAGGTGTAACCAAAACATTGTTGAAGCCAAGACTGATCCCTATAAGACAGCAGCGTGGGCATTGTTTTATAAAAAGGAGAACCCATTAATATTTTTGTCCAGAGAGGAAGGCAGGTACTAATCTACAAAGACATCGAGGATAGAAGGAGCATGCCACAGCTAAATGTCCATTCCATACTGTTATTATCTTCATTTGTCCTATGCTGACTTGACGATGATGATGCGTTGTCAACAACTTAATATAAATGTTTCCAAATTGTCATTTACTTGAAATTTTCAATACGAAATGAATAACGTCAATTTGGAGAAAACATCCAAGCATCTTGGTGAATTGTTTGACACAAATCACAGGTTCAAACAGCATATCCGGTGAAGCTGGAATAACGCGTCGATTTCTGGTAAGGTATTGCAAATTGTTTTCTAGTGTTGAAGCTTATATTTCGCGTTCGTTAGGTCGTGGTTAGAATGTTGTGCCAAAACCAGATGCTAGGTTCCTGAAATATTTGTATTTGAAAGTTGGAGCAGTCTATCTTGAAAGGGGCATCAGTTTTTATGTACTTAGTTAATAATCTGTTTGGATTTCCCGCAGTTATATTGCGCTTATAATCTTCTCTCAGGTTGAGCAAATGCAATACCAAACTTAGGCAGTTTTATACTCCATCTACCGGTTTGTACTCGTACTTTTAATTTCTTCGAAGTCTTGGGATATAAAGGTGTTGAAAAGTACTCTTTTTCAAATTTCCAACGTCTCGGAGGAACTGGAATACCAAACTTAGGGATCAATTCACCATTGCATCTAGCTGTCAAAATTTTGAATGCTGATTCTTTGAGTGGCATTCAGTCCTACCTCACTGCGCCTTATTGTAGTATGTTTTGTTGCGTTCAGGTGTACTGTTGGGTATATTTTTCATCTATTTATTTTTTCCTTTGCTCTAAGTGGAAGGAAACTCTAGAAATGTTCTTCTTTCCCTTCGGTTACTTAACATTCCTTCACGTTAGTTATAGATTTGGTATATTATTTTCTTCTTAAATGCTTAAATTTTCGTGTAATTGAAGCTATGTTCTGCTGGTTGATATATACTTTGTTTTGTTTGTTCAAGAATGTTTGTGTATTACCAAAGTGTATCATACGGAAAATGCAACTATTTGGTTTCTTCATCCTTACCTCAAGTCAGATACAGCAGCAGCGTATATTGTACTGTTCAAATTATATCGCTAAAATTACTTTCACTATCACGTATCAGATCAGGCTGTCAGCTCTATGATACCGTTTGTGTTCGGAGCATTGTACCGAAGAAGAGCGGTCATTAGTTAGATATAATATTACTTTCGTATATTAGCAGGAAAAAACTCTTCACTCTTCCCAGTTCAGTGACCCATGATAATGCAGGTGAATTCAGTGAAAACAACAACCGTTACATTGGAAGAACCTTTTTAACAATGTTATATGCACAAAGCGCTTAGATGTGATATATTGCTCGGTATCTATGGGACATCGTAATTTACATACAGGGTTAAGTCTGAGAGATGACCAGTGGCGGAAGATTTGGAAGAAGGGCCTGGGAAATTTATTGCTCATAGTAGGCTGACTCGTATTTAACTGTTAAATGGAAATATCGAAGTCCTAATAGCTACAATCCTTTGGAACTGCTGACACGAAGTAAAA